TCCAAGCCCCGTTTGTAAAAAAAATAATTTTTTTCTCGTTTTTACTTTGAAATATTGAAGTATTATGTCTTACCTTGAAAAGGTTTTCAAATTTTTTGTATTGGAATCTTAGCTAAGAAAATTTGATTTTTTTTTTCAAAAGAGTACATTTAAGGCTTTTTGGTAGGCAATACAATCAGTCCTTTTAAGAACAATAAGATTAGATGGTGAAAGATTGTTCCTTGAATAATTCTGAAAAAGCGACAAGCAACAAACTTCCATTATTTTTAGAGGGGTCTAAGCAAAGACCACTTGTTCAAAATGACGTTTTGGTGAAAATTTGCGAAAACTAATCCTGAACCGATATCAGGGGCGTGCTGGGCCTTCGGGACACCGGGCGAATGCCCGGTGGCCTGCGCTTCCATGGTGGTCTGCTGGACTTGTTATGGTATGCAAATAGAAAAAAGATTTTTATACCAAACAAAAAGTTATATCACTAAACACTAAATATAAATTTAAAAAAAAGTTTTAATTGACTCCCGTAAAAAAATCTAAAACACGTATTTTTTATGCTAACCCTTAACCAAGAAGTCGCAGGTGGAAACCCTAGAGCGTGGGTATATTTTGGATGCTTTTGTAATTATTTTTCTGTTTCTTGGGAAATCCAATCAATTTATAAATTATAGGAAGGGGGGATCAGCACGGATTTATAGAGGAACAGAAACATAATTACAAAAGCATCCAAAAAAGCCCCCTCTCGCAGTTTTTGTCTTGATTTATTTGTGATAATACCTTAATACTTTCCTTTAATATCAGTGTGAAGTGACGAAAATTTGGAAGATTTTATGCTGATTGCTGTGGAGAGAAAGGTGCAAAATGGTTTAGATTGTGACTTAATAATTGAGCTAGCTGAAAACAGTTCTTTGTTGCGAAGAGAGTTAGGTATCACGGGACGTTTTATCAGTCGAGGTATTTAATTGTGATGTATTTTTACCATTTATATGAAATTAGCTTGGGCCTGGACTGCTCTACCATCTAGTCCAGGCCTGCATTGATTCTGCCAGCACGCCCCTGACCGATATGTACGTTCTTGACATGTTTTCTTTATAATTTTGACCTCCTGATTGTGATTCAGTTGTCAAATTTAAGTTTCAGATAAAACCAAAATCACTAAGAATCAAAATTCGAAAACAATTCCCGGCTGTTAAATTGCCTACAAAAAAGCCTTAAATGTAAAAAAAATCATATTTTCGTTGTCAAGATTCCAATTCCAAAAATTTTAAAATTGTTTCAAGGTAAGACATAATACTTCATTATTTCAAAGTAAAAACAAGAAAAAATTTTTTTTTTTTACAAACGGGGCTTGGATGAAGTTATTGAAATTTTTCACCGTTTAACATATCACCCTGTAGGAAATTTACTTGAAGAACCTTAAGCTTTATATATATATATCATGAATTGCCAGAGGATGGGGCTAAGAGACATCACAGACCAAAATAAAATCGTTTAAGAAACGAAAAAGTTATGTCGTTTTGAAAAACAACGAACTTTTTGGTCGCGACACATTGAGTGGTGCGCAGTTTATATATATGGGGCAGTCATGTTTCCGATTTGCTTTAGGGTCGATAAAGGAACTAAAGTTATGGAGAAATCTAAAATTTCAACCTCTTTTATGCATTTTTGTAGGTTTTACAAAATAAACAAACAAAAATGTGACTTCGATTTTTCTATTATGTAAAAACCCGAAAGACAAAAAATTTCACATATTTTTGACGCTCTTTAAGATAAAATAAAAAAATTTTGTTCAAAAATTCACAAAAAAAAACAATTTTTTTTTTATTAAAATTTAAATTTCCAAAAAACGCCACCTCAAATTTAAACAAAAAAAATAATGATGATAGCCGTAAATTTTCCGCAAATTTTGACTACTTATTTTTGGGGGGACTCAAAAACTGTAGAAGTTATGAATTTTTTTTGTAGAGAAATGCATGTCAAATCGTCGCTACAGATCCAAGCCTACGCGTAGCTACGCCGCGGCGCGCGGTTCTGAGAGACGTGTGCTCGGTCACCTTTAACGGAGAAAAAATGGTTTAACGATTCTCTCTCACACGCATTAATATTTTCAAACTATATTTTATTAAAACTCCAAATTATTTCTTTTTCTAATTTATTAAAAAATAAACAAAACAATCAAATTAAAATATCGTCGATGGTGTAGCAATAACTTCAATGTGCAAAGAAAAGCTTAACATATTTAAAAAAAACTTATAACAATGTTTTAGTTTAATTAGGTATTTTTCTAGGTACCTACTCTTCTAGCTCTCGTTAAATTTTTTTAAGAAAACATAGGTTTTTATTTTAACTAAGAAGGAAAAAGTAATAATAATTATTAATATTCTATGATTTTACTAATAAATTCTTTGACAAATATTGTTCAGTTCATAGTTTTCATTAATATATAACCAGTTAAAGACATTAAAAAAAAAAACAAAACGAAAACGGGTTTTTTATAGATAATTTAGGAAATTCAAAATGTTTTTTTGCAAAAATTTTTTTATTGAGTATAATTGAGAATATTATATTAATTGAAATAAAAAGCATAGGATATGTTCACGTCTATAGATATGTTCACGTCTTAATGTCATTATACAAAATGATGGATTATTTTAATTTAAAGCTAAAATTGAAGGCCTTTGGAGGAAAAAGGGAATTTTACAAAAATTAAATGTCTAAAATACCATAGTCGCGACTTTACCAAATATTATAACTGTAAAAGTAATTTTATTAACTTTTAAAACTTAAGTTATAATATTTGGTCAATTCGAGGCTATGGTATTTAAGAAAACTTAAGATTTTGCCAAATTTTCAGGGTTTGTATAATATTTTATGTTCTTTTTAATGGGCCCATTTATAACTTTTTTTACTCATGCAAAAAAAAGTTAAAAAGTTAGCCTTTTTTTAAAAGCTAAAAATAAAAGGTAAACTTTTTAAAAATAAAAATCGCTTCGAGGGGTATATGCCAAAATAAGCTGAATTTTTCATAACTTCTAATAATTTTGAGATAGTATTCACGAAAAAAATTTCTGTATAAATTATGAAGTGTCCGAACATTATGTGGTTAGGGCTCGTATAACATTAAAATAATTAATTACTTAAAATTCCAATAAAATTTGTATTTTATTTATTCAGAAAACTATAAAACCAGGGTTCATGATCTGCATATTTTAATTTGCAATAGCTGCAAAATTTTAAAATATGTAGACAAATAACTTTTTCCTTCTTAGTTAAAATAAAAACCTATTTTTTCTTAATTTTTTTAACGAGAGCTAGAAGAGTTCCTAGAAACATTGTTATTGTAAAAGTTTTTTTAAATATGTTTAACTTTTCTTAAGTCGGTTAAAAAATTTTAATTTGCACATAGAAGTTATTGCTAAACCATCGACGATATTTTAATTTGATTGTTTTGTTTTTTTAATAAATTTTGTTTTCTAATTTAATTAGAAAAAAAAATAATTTGGAGTTTTAATAAAATATAGTTTGAAAATATTGTGTGTGAGAGAAAGAGAGAGAATCGTTAAACCATTTTTCTCCGTAAGACCGAGCGTCTCTCGGAACCGCGATTTCACAATTCTTTACAAAATAATTTATAACTTCTACAGTTTTTGAGTCCCCCCCAAAAATAAATAGTCAAAATTTGCGGAAAATTTAGGGCTATCATCATAATGATTTTTTTTAAATTTGAGGTGGCGTTTTTTGGGAATTTAAATTTGAAAGAAAAATTAGATTTTTTTTTGAGAATTTTTGAACAAATTTTTTTTATTTTTATTTTATCTTAAAGAGCGTCAAAAAATATGTTTTTATGTTTTTTTTTCGAAATTTTTTGCCTTTTGGGTTTTTAAATAATCGAAAAATTAGAGAAGTGACATTTTTTGTTTATTATGTAAAACCTACAAAAATGCATAAAAGAGGTTGAAATATTAGATTTCTTCATTTCTTTAGTTCGCCATATATATATATACATAGTGTAAATAATATTATTAGGTATTATTTTTATTTTTATTATTATTAATATGTTAAATATTATTATGATTATGTTAATTAACTTTAATTTGGTGAAAATAGTGGTCTATTACTTACCGGGAAAACATTTTAACGAGGAAAACAGGAAGCACGCAAATTAGAGATAATATCTATATCTATATTATACGAAATTAATGTTACGTTAGTGGTGGCGCCGAGTCTGCCTCGAAAAGCACACCAAGTTATAGAAAAATATTACTGATGTTTTAACTGCTACACACGATAAGGTTTCCACGGGCGTTATATGTATTGATGGTTTTCCGGGATCTGCTCCGTGTTGTCGGTTTTTGGAACAGTATGTCTGACGAAGTTTTGGTACAATCTTCAGGTCTTATCTGCTGGACTGCTGTTGCTGCTCTGCTGCGAGTTACACGTAGAGTCTAACTCGTAGCAGAGCAGCAACAGCAGATAAGCCCTGAAGATGGTACATGAGATTGTACCAAAACATCGTCAGACATACGGTTCTTTTAAGAACCAAAAACCGACAACACGGAGCAGATCCCGGAAAACCATTAATACATATAACGCCCGTGGAAACCTAAAGCAGAACATATTTGGGCTTTAAAACTCATTTTTGCAATAAAATCGATCGACTTTTCTTTGTCGCAATTTATATTGAAAATATTGTTTCAAATGACGAAAAAGAAATGCTGTTAAAAGAGGTGCATCATCGCGATTTTCTCTTTTCCATTTAAATGAATTTTAAATTTCATAATTTGTGTACTTTTTCCGCAGACAAATCATAAAATTTTGTTTGTAAAACCCACAGAGAACATTGTATTTCCCTCAAATTATCTCTAACGTCAAAGTATTTAATTTCATAAAGATAGTTAACTAAAGATAGTTATTGCATTGCAAAGTAAATTTATTTAAAAAAAGGATATTTGGGAATATAAAAAAACATTCTTCTTTAAAAAATCACATAATTTTTTATTGTTTAAGCCTAAATAACATGAATTTCAACAAGCCAAAAAACAACAATTTTTAAACATCTCCACAAGTAAATATAACAAGTAACAACAAAAATAATAATAAAAACATAAATAAAATTTTTGACTGTCATGTAGTAAGTATTAAAAAAATATTAAAAGGAATGTCATAATAAAATGGCAGTATTACCTATACATTATAAAAAATATTTTTAACATTTGACTAAAATAGTTGTGCCCCAAGGTGCGTGCTTGGGACCGTTTAGTCATAAATGAAAAATTGTAAGAAAATACATTTTTCAAAATCAGTTCTTTTCAACGTTTAAGGCCATACTTTTTGGAATAAATCCATGAAACTGTCATAGATCATAAAAGTAATAGCAACGTCGAGACACACTCGACTCAATCTAGGCACCGTGCCTTTATAAAAGGCCATGGGTCCTTCGTTTTTCCAAATTTGAAGGAAACAATCGAAGGTGTTTTTGTATTTGTGGGCCTCCAAACCTTGCATTCGAGTTTTAACGACATCTACTGGTGTGTTACCGAACACTGAAGCGGCTCCTGTCATGTAAAATGTTAGGTGTTTAATATTTGATAAAACAAATGTATAGGAGTAGAAGGATACTATTTTTTTTTAAATTTAGCATAAGAACGCTTTTTTCTTTTAGTACTGGAATTTTTTTAAGTAATTCAAGAGATATGAGGATATCAAATAAAGTAATTTTACAAATATTATTACTCTTGAATGGCTTAATAAAACAAATGAAAAAAATTATAGAGGCTAGTCTCAACCAGTACTAAAAGAAAAAAATCTGTATATAGAAAGATTTCTGTCCTCATAACCAATAAAAAAAAATAGAACGATTGATTAAATTTTGATGAATATTAGAATAAATTGTCTGCAATAGAGCAGCCATTCCACGTTACTCGGCAATTTTTGTAGCGTCCGTAATAATCAAAATATGTAAGTATTATGCTTAAGCTTAAAGCAAATTTATTACTGTAGTTTTACTTACAATTTCAATTTTTGATTATTACTGACGCTACATAAATTGCTGAGTAACGCGTAGACAACGAGTGACAAAACACAAAATAAACAGTCAAATATAAACAGTAAAATGGTCCAGTATTCTGCCCTGCTAAAATAAAACAATAAAAATTGAATTTTTTTTCTCTCTATTACTTAATATTGTAGCTTAGCAGGGCAGTATTGTCAACCATCACTGCACATTGCGCTGTCTAGTAGGAAATGTATAAACTAGTGTTCATTTTGGATGCTTAAAACAATAATCCCAAATTCGACAAATTTTGAGTTGTGTCACTCTTGCAGACAAAGAGCAAAATTTTATTAACAGTAAAATCATAAAAAATGTTGCATTGTTGTCATTTAAAGAAAAACCTGTTATACTTCTTTGGCGTAACTAAAAAGTATGCAAATAATTTAGCAGAAAAACGATAAAATGTTTGATTAAGTACAATAAAAAAATTTTGGAAAATTTAAAAATTTTGGAAAATTTAATAATTTTGAAAATTTAAAATTTTTGGGAATTTTGTAGATTTTTTAAATTTAGAAAATTTGACAAAGCATTTTTTAAATTTATCCTACTGTGTGAATTATACCTACCATTTTTTAAATTTAAGGTAATGTGCGAATATTTTCCACTAATTTTTATTTTAAACAACTGTGCGGATGTCCTACCATTTTTTATGCTATGCATGTAAGGGCAGTTTTCAATTATACAATTTTGTTTGAATTTGGTCCGTTTTTAACATTTTAACAATTTTAAGGTACAGTTTTCAATAATCCGGTTTTAGATAAATTAAATGTAAGGGCAGTTTTTGATAGTCCAACGCACATCTACATGTTGCAGAACACATCGACGTGACTTACCTCTGCGACTTTATGCTTTCCTTATACTTACGGGCGTTTAAAAACGTTTAATATTTTCCGTGAGATTAGATAAAGTGGATGTTAAGCTGGGAGGTCACTTCTGTCGCCTGTTAAAATTTTACTCTCAACGCGCCAAAAGAAGTATAACTTTATTTTTTTATAAATAAATGAACATTCAACTCAGATGGTAGAATTGAAAACAGTGTTTAATTGTTAATGTGTAAAACAAAATTTTTTAGCGCAATAAATAATCAATATGAATAGCAACCCTCGTATAAATATTTTCTAAACACTTACCGGCTAAAGCACCAAAAAGACCAATTAAAGGTTTGGGAATTTTTTTAGTCCTATCACCATCCATGTAAGCTTCCTTTAAACTTTCCATCACAAAAAATCTAATGGCTTGATTGGATCCTTGTTTTATAATAGTTGCAGTTAGGCCTTTGTAAACCCCACCAATACCTAAGGAAAACTAAATATTAGGTACTGGATATTGGTTTTCGTTATTCTCGGCATGTATTGGTGGCTAATAATTAGTCCGATTAACGCTACCCAAGCAACAATTTAAGTATTTGTTACGTATATGGGACTATTGAAGAAACTTTAAAGTGTTTTGCGACAGTCGCCGGTCTCTTTATATTACTCTTTTATTACTAAGTTACGACTAAAGTGGGGAGCAATTATTGAGTTCCAAAAAGGTAGCAAATATGTAACTAGCTATAAACCCTGCTACTATTTGGAACGTAGCTGCTACGTTACTAGAACGTTCCAGTATCGTTGCTAGAGCGTTATAATTACTTTTATTTATTTGTTTTTACTTCTATATTAACTGTCTTTGTCAAACTTATATTAGATTATACTATCCCTCCTTTTTTAAATGGAACCACTACGGACTTTTCAATGTCGTCGTTTATTAAATATGTACTGGTAGTTTATAACTTCCAGAATAACAATATAATGTTTAATTAGGCAGGTAAATTTATAAACCCTTTAAATTTTACTGTTGAACTTATGAATTTAGTTTTTGTAAAATAAATGCGCTTCATCAATATTTAAGTATAAACAAATTATTTATTTAATAATGTTTATAAATAAAAAAAAATTAATATTTATTATTAATTTTTTAATTTCATTATTAATACCGTCTATTGCCAACAAATTTACTATTTATTAAAAAGTAAACAACCATTTACAAACAATTAAAATAATTTATTATTTACATTACCACGTGGTTCTGTACAGTAAAAAATGGCCGATAAGAAGCATTTTCCTTTGAAGTAGTTTTCGCTACTTTAAAGTTTTTTCCACTTTACGGTTGTTTTGGTTAGTACCATAAACGTTCCAAATACTAAAATAATAACTTTTAAGTTATTAACTTTGTAGTTTTTAACTCATGTTCCAGTTTTGAGATTTTAACTTGGAAAGGGACTACAAAGTAAAAATAATTATAATGTAATCTTTAGGTAGCAACCGAAAGTAACTGCTACAAATTAAATTTACTTGAAAGTTTTTTTTACTTAAAACACCTTTTTTAAAGTTGCAAAGTCTTCTTGGGGGCAACCAAGTTTTACTTAAATGTTTATTACTTTATAGTAACCATTTAAGGAAAAATTAAGTTACTGTTACAAAATATTGCTATTTAAAAGTTAAAATTACTTTTAAGTAAAAATTAAAGTAGCTGTTTAGTATCCCAAGCAGCATTTTAAGTAAAAGCGTAGAGCTTTGAGGCAATATTACTTAATTTAAGTAAATACTTGTTAAATTAACCTTAAAAATTTACTTTGAAGTAAAACTTTTTTTAAAGTTATAATATAAGTTTTATTTATGTTATTTTTACCTATTTTAATAACCCTTAAGTTTCAACACTTTAAAGTATTAAGAGGGACGTAATTTTTACGAAAGAAAATTACTTATTAGTGTATTTCACCTAAAGGAAAATTTAACGGTAATTTTAACGTAAGAATTTTTACTTAATGGTAAATTTTACTCATAAGTCATAATTTTACGATATTAAGACCACTTTATAACCGTAAATAATTCCTATTCGCCTGGTATTTTTTAGGGTTATTAGTAGGTAATAAATACTAATAATATTGACTAAACAAGGAAAAATAAGCTTAAAGTGAAAAATAAAACTTTGCGGGAATTTTTTTTTAGGCCGCCATAATGAGTTTTTTAAGATGGCATCCATTACTTATCTAAACATTTATATAATATTTTTTCATGAATATCTTTCTAAAATATAATAAGAAAAGTTTTAGTTATTAAAATATGATTAAAACTTAATGATTTTTAAAAGATTTTATAAAATTTTGTAGGTTTTAAGTTTTGTTGAATTTTTACCCAAGCAATAATTTTTCTTAAAACCGTAAAATATTTAGAGGGCATATAATTTTTAAGACGTATCGTACCTATTTTTATCAATAAAATAATGTGCGTTTGAGTTTTAATGCAAAATATCAATGGTTTTGACAATTTAAGTTATATTTTTTAATTTTACTGTAGGGTGGCCTTTATTACTTTGTAATTACTCAAGTTCCTACCATTTTGTAAAATATAAATTAAAAGAACAAAGAAATTACGAATATCAATGTTTAAGAAAGAGAGAGCAAACAGTTAGTAATTATAGCGTTATTTTTACGTAAATTTGTGGTATTTATATTGTTTTTATTACGTAATTCTCTTAGTAGATCAAAAAGGTTATTATGTGGGTAAAATAACGAAATAAACCATTCCCCAAATTTGGTAATTTTTCGTATCTATACCGTTATAAAACCGTTTTGGTTAACCGTAAAAAATACTTTAAAGTTGACTTAGTAGTAAATTTGTAGTTATTTAAACTTAAAATGCTGCTTGGGATACTTAACCAATTTAAGTTATCACCACTTTGGCAATGGTTTTTGGAACCAAAAATGCTGCTTGGGTATTTTTTGTTGTTTTGTTGGTACACATGTCTGTAAATTTCAATACAGCCGTATTGGATATCCTAAAACTTTTAAGAATGATCTAAAATGTCCTTAATTGTCTATGATCTGTTCAAAATGTCTATATATATTCTACAACTGTCTTGGGACTATCAAAACATTTAAATTGTCCAAAAATATCGTAAAAATATCGGATTATCTAAAATGCCCTAAATTGACTAGGCTTTGTTAAAAACGTTTGAATATATTCTAAAACTGTCTCAGAACTATAAAAGCATTAAAATGATATAAAATGTCCCAAGTTTACTATGATTAGGGAATGCAATCTTAGTATACCAAGATCTCGCACTAATTCTGCAAGATTAGTCTTGCACGAAAACCATGCGCGATTTCGCAAGATTTGCTAGATTAGGACGCAGCGCATTCCATGTGTATTTTGACTTTTTTGAGAAGTCATTTTCAAAATAATGTATAGTTTTTTTAATAAATAATTTTAGTCTTGTTTATGCTTTTTGCTTCAATAGCTATATACACTATTGGACAAAAGTAAAGCAACAAACTGAAAAAATTTTAATATTATATTTTGTGAGCATTTGAAACTAGAATTTTCTAAAGTTTAATAGTTATAATTAAAGCATAGTAGGCAGCTGTCAATTTAATGACATAAGTTATGAGAGGCCATTAAGACTAGTTTGTTGTTGTGTGTTTTTCGAATATTTTTATTTTTTAAATGGTCAAAAGTAAGGCAACACTTAATAATTATTTTTATTATTTATTCTTTAAATCATTAATTATTTTAGTTTCGGCAATTTTCGTTACAAAGATCTTAATTAAAATGCCCACAGGTATTGGCACATGCACTTGCAAGTACTGACTTAAAACAAAGAATAATAAATGTCTACAATAATGGGGAGAAGCAGGCGAGTATTGCACGTCGATTTGAGGTGGCTCGCTATACGGTATCAAGGATATTATCCAAATTCCATCAAAGGGGACATATATATGTCCCCAATATTGGTACTACGCCAAAATCGGGAAGACCACGAAAAACTACTCCACACGTAGACAGGTTAATTAAACGGATATGTCGCGCAGATCCATGGAAGTCAGGTCCAAGAGTTAAGGCCGAAATTGAAATTAATGTAAGCGAAAGAACAGTCCGAAAAAGGCTAGTTGAAGGGAATATTTTTAGCAGAAGACCTGCTAAAAAGCCATTAATTTCAGCCAGGAACAGAGCTGCGCGACTTGAATTTGCTCGGACACATTTAGGGTGGACAGAAAACGATTGGAGAAAAGTACTTTTTAGCGACGAAAGCCGCTATAACATTTTTAATTCCGATGGCATGCGTCGCGTTAGACGGCCTGTAAACCAAAGATTCAACCCCATGTATGTTACTCCAACCGTTATGGGGGTGTTTTTCATTAAATGGTATGGGTCCCTTACATTTCATTGATGGTATTATGGATCGCTTTATATACCGAGATATTTTACAGAATGTTATGATGCCTTATGCAGAGTGGGAAATGCCCCTGCGTTTTATTTATCAACAGGATAATGATCCCAAACCCACTTCAAATCTTGTAAGGGACTGGTTTACCACAAATGATGTTCGAGTCTTAAATTGGCCGGCACAGTCACCCGACCTTAACCCCATAGAAAACCTATGGGAAGAAGTAGAGAGGCGAATATTCGTATATACGAACAGAAACATTTAGGAACAAGCAGGCTTTGCAGGACAAATTATCCGATGTTTGGGAAAATATTCCTGCACAAGTCATAAACAAGTTAATTTTATCAATGCCAAGAAGATGTGCAAAAGTTATTGCAAATAATGGTTATGCCATAAATTATTGACATAATATTTAAAATTAGTTAATATTGTCCGATTTATTTTAAAAAAATTGACATATTCTTTAATTATTAAAATTTGTTGCTTTACTTTTGTCCAATTATTTTTGTAGTCATAATTTTGTTTATTATGGCAATAATTATTTTAAACATGTAAATTTAAATGACTACTTTCAGCAAGTCTCTAACAGTTAAATAAACAAAACAAATTTAAAAAATTGTAGTTATCGTACATATTTAAAAGCAGTATATACTATAATAAAAAAATATTTTAATTTGTTGCTCTACTTTTGTCCAATAGTGTATATAATATTATATACCACTACTGGTAAAATTTTACCGATACAATTTTTGACTTTTATACGAATGTTTTTTTCTTGGAAATTTTGCATTATACGAAAGACGTATACGAATTGCGTCTAGAATAATGATATCCAAAAAGTATTCGAAAATGGCCACATTTAGTATACGAATTCTGCTCGTATACACCAATTAATATTGGGGTGGGATTTGGACAGAATTTTTATTTCTTCATTCTCTATATAGAATCTCCATATGGAATTTTCATGTGCGAAAAAAAACGATATCGCCTTTTTTGCCACACCCTAATGTATATGTCAAAAGCATAATAGCGGAGATATAGACCGTTAAAGTTGGAAAATCAAATCGTTTTTTCTCATATCTTCTGATGACAGGTGACAGATGTGTCTGGACGCTGCACACTGGAGTATGGATGCCTATCGAAGGGACAAAAAGGAAAAAACATACATTGTTAATTTTGTTAGAAATCTGATGCAAAAATAAACTAAAGACATTGCTTAAACTAGCGCAAGCAAAACTAGTAGGCTGTCACTTAAAACGGGCGGTGACAGCATCTCAAAGATATCAGTGTTTATTGAACGCTTTAGTTACTCTAAATTTATTTTCAAAACTTCACAGCCATTTCAGGAAAAGCGAAGAGTGAACTTTTCCAGTTTTTTGGCAAAAATATATTTAGGTAAGCCATTAGATTCTTACCGTACTGGCACATACTAATTTAATATGTCCATTGATTTTATATAGAGCGTTGTTTGTCAGTATCGCAAATTAGAAGTTTTCTTTTAATTTTTGCTTATTTTGGCAGAGGTTATAGTTGTGTTCCGGGCGTTTCCGAAATGAATAGTTCATCACAGAATATTGGCCAATCATCGTTTATTATGAAACCGTAAAAAAAAATTGCTAATATTTGCTATTCCGTAAATCCCTGAATATAATGTTAAATGCAGTTAACACGTCATTTTTGCACAATACCAATGTATTAAATTATTTTGGTCAGCATAATTCAAAAAGTATTGATTCAATTTTGATGAAATTTGGCGGGCGACTTACGTACAACAACAGAAATACTTGATTAGTTTTTTTAAAAACCCCAACATGGCAGATCAAAATGGCGGCCACTTTAATTTTTGATTGGCCATAATTCATGAACTGTTATCCCGATATCAATAAAAATCTATTAGGTAGGTTTGTAAACTTAAAGAAATATTTTTCACAAATTCAAAAAATTCAATATGGCGGAACAAAATGTCTGTTTTGATAACCCAAAGAGTAAGATCGATTAACTAATAATCTTAGCTTTATCAACTCTGCCAAAATAAAACAATGGGTTTTCAGAATTTTTGCTTTTTTTATTTTGAAACTCCTAGACAACAACTAGAAAATAACTTATTTGATAACTATAGTTATATAAGTATACCTAACAAAAAAAATTACAGGTTGTTATCACTAACTAAGCAAAGAATGTTAAGTTAACGTAGGCCAACGTTAATACAGAGTGTCACAACTTAACGTTTGCTCTAATTGTTATAGTAACGTTATTTCGATGTCCAGCAAATTATATCAATCTGGTCCAATCACAGTGAAGTCCTAGAAACGTTTGCCAACAAAACATTCCATGTCTCTTGTTCATTTGATGTTGTTTTTAAAACATTAATATGTCATGTATAATTGTATGTCGCATGAACATTGGCAGATGCAACATCTCCCAACTCATGTTTATATGATGTTATTTTTAGGATGTTAATATAAGAAGTTCAATTATATGTCCCATACACGTTTGCGGAAATATTGCTTAATCATATGTTTACACAATGTATTGTCTTTTTTAATAAACGTTAAGTTGAAAACGGTTATAAAATGTTATTTTGATTATTTCGATATCTTAAGGCACAATTGTACCTACAGCTATTTTAATATTTTTTTATTTATATGCATCATAAATATTTATTTACTTCCTATAGGTATATATATCTGTCTTTCATTATATTTATGTTATTTAATTTTTATAGTTATTCAAATTTTTAAAAAATTATAAATTTGCATCAAGTTTTGCTTTTAAAGCCAACCACGTCATTTAAATCATATGGACGTATTAACTCTAATATGTCTATAATTTAAATAGACAGATAAACAATACATTGGCAAATTAGATTAATACACTGATGTAAACTCAGTTAAATTCACCTTCGTTTTGTTTAGAGACTCTTTTCGTGGTGTTGAGGTTTAACAATTATGAGTTTTTAACCGCGGCACATTCAAATCGAGCGCGCGAAACTCTCAAACCCATACGCTGTCAAACTGCGCAGATTTCATTTTGGTTTGAGATTAAAAAGAAGGCCAATCACAGAACGTCTCTCGCACCAGAACGGCGTCATTTGGGATTTAACAGGTTTAAGAACAGTGAGTGTTAAAATTACAGGTTGTTATCAGAATGGAACTACACATGAGCCGCCTTGAACTATACAACATTCTAAAAGATAGTAATGAAAGGAGTTTATCCGACAAAAAGGAATATCTCTTCAAAAGAGTCCAAGAAATTACGTTGTGTCAACCAAATGATAAAACAATTCTAAAACATCGAATATCACACTTTATACAAGATTACAAAACCCAGTGGGCTAGATGCAAAAGAAGGAAAGATCTTTTCTTAAGAAATGAGAAATGGCTTTCAGTTAATGTTACTTTTCCTACACCAACAAAAATGTCAAGTGTGCAAAATTTCAACATTATTATAAAATAATACTGCAAAAAGAGGTTTAACTACCTACTTGGTATGTTTTGTTATTTTTCTTGAAGCTATACTGGATAAGTAGTAAAAAATTTTATAAACCACAAAAAATGAAACACCCTGTATATATTTCCATAATTTTAAGTTAATAATTATTGTCAACATATTTCCAGGATATTAAAGCCTATTAATAGTCGGAATTCCGACTTAAAGCTCTCAACCTATTTTGAAAATGAAACGCCCTGTATATATTTCCATAATTTTAAGGTAATAACTATTGTCAACATATTTCCAGGATATTAAAGCCTATTCCGACTTAAAACTCTCAACCTATTTTGAAAATAAATTTTGTCCCTTCATGGTGTCCAAATACCCCAGTGTGCGCTGGAAGCTTTTCGAACATCTTTATGAATTTGTTAAAGACAATCAATTAAACTTATTTGCTTAATTTTTAATTAGCTAAATTTCATTTTCAACATGTTTTCAAAGTTTCAAACCCAAATATCTCGAAAACAAAGCCTCTTATTAAAATTTTCCAAGAGTTTTTTTTCTTTCAAATCAAACGTAGAATCTAAAGTTTATCGGCGCCCCTTATACATTGTGATAAAACGCGTTATTATTGTTCGATAGACTAATCTAGTAAACTTTTTGTTTCAACTTTGATGGCCGGCCTACATATATATATATATATATATATATATATATATATATATATATATATATCTCCGTTATTATGCGTTTGAGATATATGTTTCCTGGATTGAATCGTTTAATTTTTTGGAGCTCTATCGATCTTAAAAGTTTGTGGATTAAAACCTGGACCCTGTATAACTGATTTTTTGTTTTCACTAGTTCCAAAATCACATAAATAATTTTTATTCCTGAAAATGCACAGTTTCTGTGTTCTGTAATTCTTAAAACAATAAAATGTTAAATTGAACTTAGTAAATAGTAGATGCCCCAAAAAACGAAAACTCTCGTTACTTTTTTTGTACAAACCTTGTTCTTTAACTATGATGCCTACGCCATGTAAGAACCCTTTGAACCTTGGGTTAGCAGATCTTTGGTCGTTGATGAATTTAACTTTAACAGTTTCCATGGGCGTTACTGCGAATATAGCTTCGGAAACACCTGCCCCTAGACCGCAGAGTAGTCTACCACTGGGACTTAAGGAACCGTCAGCCAATTGCATTTTTCCTTTGAAAAATTCAAAAGCGCCAAATCTAGAAACAAATGTGTTTTTTGTATAAATCGGTCAAAATAGAGAGGGTTAAATAAAATCAAGGTCAAACAGTTATCCCAGAGAAAACCTGTTTAGTTCATTAAAAAGATGTTATTTTATTATAATAATTATAGTTTAAACTATAAACCAAATTGCATAAAAATTCGACTAGTAAATATTAATATAATTTTATATTAGTTTGTGACCTTGAGATTTAAAACCACCATAACTCGCACACAATCCATCCGATTTCAACAACGCTCTTTCCTTTAAAACAACATTTTCCTTAAAAACTTACCTGACGGCACTTTTGGGTATTGAACCATATATCAACACACTAAGCCCTCTGTATAATCCCAGCACGCCATGATTTTTCACTGTTTTTGCTGCGCAATCCAGGATGCCGTTAAATTTTTTGTTGACGCCTTTTTCGTCCAATTGGAGTTGAGTTTTTACGAATTCCGTCGGGTAGGTTATGCATATTTCGATACCACCAGTTATACCACCTACACCCAAAAAAATTCTAAATATTTATACATGAATATGTAATTTTTTTAAATTCAAATTTAAAATTTAAATTTTTGTTGCGCTTATCATGAAAAATAATTTACACATCTGGCGATTTTTAAAGAGTGTATTGCTACACCCGCTTCGCTTGTGCAGCAAACTGCACACTCTTTAGAAATCGCCGCCGTTCGAAACTCGATATGTAATTTATTATTTTTCAATGTCGTTTAACCCTGCCCAAGTAACATTTTAATGACAAGAAAATATATAACTATATTGAAGACATAATTATGTAGGAAAAAAGATTTTTTGTAATTTTATAGGTTAACCTATACAATTCGCTTTAATTTCAAGACAAATACGCCCAAATGATACTTTAAATTTTTATTTTTTTTTACATAATAAAAACTTCATAACGCGCTTACTAATATAGTAGACATGTCACAATACAACAAAAATTTTTTTAGGAAATTTTACGCTCTAACAAAAAGGATATTTTAAGTTTTTTCGAAGAAACATCCATTAATCATTTAAATGGATGTCAAAGTTTAAAATATATATAAAATAATTAAAAATTAAAAGCAGTTATCATCATTTGGACACAGGACCGGATTAAGGCAAAAGGGGCCTGGGGTTAAAAATGTAGGCAGTCCTTAAAGTTCTTTATTAAAGAAAGGTTTAGTATTAATAATATAAGGTATTTATTTTAAATTTAGTAAACAATTATAACTAAAAAAGAAAAATGCCGAAAATCAGTGATTAGTAGTTCACACGCTCATGTTAATAAAAAGCGACCAAAAACAAAATAAATATCACTCGCAAAGTCTCTATTCTCCATTTATTTTATCAAAAAAATGTAATATTAAATACAACCTCTCTGAATAATTCCGGATATTTATTTTAATCGCTAGTTAGGTTCCTACCACTTCTCTGCTAAAAGTCTTATTAACTCTTCTAGAAGACTCCCAAATCTTGCTATTAGTCTGAATTACTAAGACTTATTCAGACTTTTTCCTACTTAATAAGTCTTATTCTGACTTTTTCCGACTTACTAATATAATAATATAAGTATTATTCAGACTTTTTAAGAGAAAGTAAGTAAGTACCCAGCTAGCATTTATGATTTCATATTTACGTCAGATTAAAATCAGACGTGAAAATCGTTCGTCACGTCTGTCGAGAATCTGACGTCAGTAGAGCATACGCGAATGTCAGCAATATGAAGTCAGACTGAAATCAGATGTGATTTTTGTTACTGCTGACGTTGGCTTTGAAATCATACTGATGTCAGAATGAAATCAGATATGATTTTGTAAAGAGTCCGGTAGAAACCGGTAGAAAGAAAACTTTAAAGAATAAGTAAAATCAGTCGAGATTTTTGGTCCCGCTGACGTTGGCTTTGAAATCATACTGTTGTCAGAATGAAATCATACTGTTGTCAGAATAAAATCATATGTGATTTTGTAAAATGAACAGGTAAAATCGATTAATCAAATAATCGATTAATAGAAAAAAAACGATTATTTTAAATAATCAATAATCGAAGTTAAACATCGTCTACCATGTCATTTATAGTTTGACGTACGTTAAAGTATAAATGATATGGTAGACGATCACAAGTTTAACTTTTGAACGGGAACAGTAAAGACCAACGGCAATTAATACGCCAATAAAATTTTATTGCTGAAAAGTTAATAATTATAATTAATTATACCCAATAAAATTTAAAAATAAATACATTAATTTTTAAATTTTATTGCAATAAAACCATTTGTTTCCTGAAAAAAAATTTCAGTGAAGGAGGAAATACCAAATTTTTTTTATTAAAAATTTAGGTATTTACAAAAAAAAAAGATTTCTTAAATCTGACGCAATTTACCTGGCGCCATTCCTCTATGGTTGAGTTAGAACCTAAAATTATACTGAAAATCATATGTGATATCATACAGACTCCAGTATGAAATCAGGCATGCTTTGAAACTTAGAATTATACTGAAAATCATATGTGATCTCATACTGACCTCAGTATGAAATCAGGCGTGCTTTGGAACTTAGAATCATATTGAAAATCATACGTGATCTCATACAGACCCCAGTATGAGAACAAACATGATTTTGAACTAATATTCGCGCCCGATCGAAACTCACGTGGGTATGCATACCCATAACCATGGTTGTTTATTTGTATTTGTCCCATTGTGTATAGTCCTTCGTAGGGGACTTTAAGCCGGAAGTCCGTTCCTACCCCTTACCCGCACAAGCTATAACTTGTGCGGGTAAGGGGTATTAACGGACCGCTGGCCTAAAGTCCCCTCGACGATACACAATGGGACAAGCACAAATAAACAACTATACCCTATAGATTACATTACATTACATCCAAACGAGAACTATATATAAGCTATAGATTATAAGCTTAAATAAAATTAGCTTGTAAGCTTGGAACTTATGGAATAGGTACCCTTAACTGAAAATCATGCCTGATCTCATACTCACCCCAGTATGAAATCAGGCATGATTTGGAACTTAGAATTTATATTGAAAATCATGCGTGATCTCATACCGACTTCAGTATTAAATCATACATGATTATGAATGACTGAAAATCACATCTGACCTTATACTGACTTCAGTGTGAAATCACAGAGGGAAAACAAAATCACAGATGCTATCTGGGTATATTTCTGGATGTTTTTGATAAAACATATATTGGTTATTTTTTTATCTTATCTAGGTGGGTCATATAATGTGTATTATTATTTTAACTATTAAATCAAGGGCTGTTTGGGCAGGGTTAAACGACATTGAAAATAGTACATTATAGACCAGGCGGAGAAAGCACATTTCAATGCCGAGGCGATAGCCGAGTAGATTGTGTGCGAGGCAATTAATAAGCTATCGTCTGTATTTTTTTAGATTTTCTTTTAAGAATTTCTTATGATTCTGTCACATCATTTTTAGGTTATGTTCAACTGGCATTACATCTTTTATATAGCTAAAATTTCATCATGTCAGTCACAGATTATAATCTGTAACTGACATGATGAAATTTTAGCTTTATTTTTGTACGGAGTTTAATAATAATTATTATAATCTGACTTTTAAACCAGTATTAATATGAACCCAGATAGCAATCGTGCGTCGCACGTAGGTCGCACGGCGTGAGAACGCACACGAGTGGTTGATTTCACACGCATTTAAGTAGCATCGCCGTGCGCGCCCACGCGATGAGCGCAGTATGAGCGCACGACGTGATCAATGATCTCTTACACTGTGCTTATCGGCAGTGATGCCAGATTCTATCAAAAAAACAATCAATAATAATGAAATAACGTAAAATTGCAATTTGCATTGTTTCACTAGGTAAATTCAATTAAAATGACATGCATCAACTGCAATCGTGTTGTGTTTGTATTGCCGTTTAAAGACGCACGCATGCACTCACTGTGCGCGCATCGTGACTACATTTTGCTATCTGGGAAGTCTTTCTACAGTGCGCACGTTATCTTTTAAAGGAAACAGAAGGACAGAAATCATTGTCAAGGATATTAAGTATACTACTTTTTGACGTCAAATTGATACAATATGGTTTCCCAATTGTCCCGCCCATACATTTACTTTTTGTAGGTACTACAGTATACCCATGTGTATGACATTCGCGAAAAACATGTGGATTACCATCTGACCAGTAACGTAGATTTTGCCAATTTACAGTGCCATTTACGACAAAAGTGCATTTATTACTAAAACAAATTAATTGCAGGGTACATTGTACAGGGTATTTTGTATTAGGCGTTCACACATAACTTCACAAAATTGTACTCTGCGATACTAGGTCATCTTAAGTAAGTTGATGTAATATTTTTAATTTATAGGGATGCAATTTGTTATAATTTTGATATATCACAATCCCCCGCAACTTCCGCCGTCCATTGCTATGGATTATTGACATTGATTTTCTACCCGATCCTTTCACTTATCCACTAACTCACGTAGATATTTTTAGCAAATAGGGTTGTCTGGTACCTTTCATTAAACATCCTCACTGCTTGGTGCAAATTACGTTCAACTTCAGCATTAATAAAAATTGCTTCTGTTTTTTCTTCGAACGGGCGAGCGCGAGCCATTTTCCAATGAAATAAAAAGTAAAATTGCAGGCACAACTGATAAATAGTGTTACTTACTAAAGAGTACAACTACTTTCTAAACCGCCTTAAAACTACACTAGCACAAAAAAGTGTCAACAAAATTAAATTAATTCTTACCGCCAGGGCCGCATTTACCGAACAGGTAACGTAGGTAGCTACCTCCCTGGCGAAAATGAAATGTGCAAAATTATTTAAGAACAATGTGCTGAGGGTGGGAAATGGAACATGAAACTGTGCAAAACCAAAAATTTAAAAGTGTGAATAATCACTGGACATGTTCTAAAGGTAACTCTTTTTGATTTTTCACATTGTTTGCACACTGTTTCTTGGTACCTTCTGTGGGCCTACTACAAAAACAGAGTCTTTTAAATTTACACTTAATAAATATCCTAATAATAATATTACACTGTTTAAAATATCTGTGGTGTAAAGAGTAATCTTAAAATGGTGTCAAAATCCAACACCAAGTGGTGTCAATATAACACCATGAATTATGGTTGAAAATGTTATATACAGCAAACACCAAAACGATGTTTATCTAAAAATATTTGTGCACCTACACAGAAAAAAAGGAATAGTTCGAGCTATTCCTAAATGATCATTTAACTATATTAATTTAGTTGACCCATAAGTATTTATTTTTGTATTTTTTTTATTTTTATCAACTGTGGGAAGGTTAATATAAACAAAGATAAGTCTGACGGTACTAAACCAGATAGTTATTTTTTTTTAAATTGGTTAAATTAACCCAGAAAACTTTAGTGAAACCAACCCGCTGTATGGTTCACTTTACTAAATATGTTGTTTGTAAAATAAGAGTAACTTCAACCTAAAGCACTCTTTTAAAACGA